GGCACAATACAATTATATATATATATATATATATATTCTTAAATTAATGTGTGATAATAATCATTGTTAATCATTCATGACAATGTGGTCAATCAATAAAGGAGCAAATAAATCAGAAAGAAATTATACAAGTGAATTTGCAAGTATCAATAATTACCACTACAACTGGTTGAGAAGAAGAAAAAATGCTACTACCGATGAATAATAAAAATACTCATCTCTATACCGTATGACTTGTTTTTAGATTAATAATCTATAACTCTGACTTTACGTTCTTCAAATTAATACCTAAAGAAAATATTCACAATAATAAATTCAATGCTTAATTGGTCATTTTATGCATATACCAACATTCAATTTTCTAATTTAATACATAGTAATCCACAGAAATCCTAACATCCAAATTTCTATATACTTGCTTATTTAAAATTCATTTTATTTAATTAAAGATTGTATTAATTTAAAATTTAAAATTTAGACATTGTTCTAATTAGATTATTAATCATTTAATGCAGTTACTTTATTTTGTTTTTTTAATCTAAATCCTATTTTAATATACCCTATTGTACTTTAAATCCTGAATTCATAATAAATACTCACTAATTATATCCTTAACTTTTAACAAGTCATTCAAATTATTTATATATTATTATTTTCATAATTATTATTGTTAAATATTAAATCTATTCATTTATTTTGATTTGAATATTTTCAAATTTAATCACTATTAATAATTCATAAAATTTTAATATTAACAAATTACATTTTTAAATTAAAACAATTTATGTAATTAAAAACATAAAACCCAAATATTAACTCTTACCTTAGATACTCAGCTCTTCCCTTATCCTGCATGAAAGTTGCTTCCCTTTTCTTCTTCCTTTTCATGTTAAGTCACCCGCAAAAATAAGAAACAGAACTCAGGACTTCGGCTTCAGCACTCACAAGCGAGTCTTCCACTTCCTTCTTCTCTCTCACGACACAACTGATCTCCTTCCTGCGAGACACACGAGAGCTTCTCTCCCCCACATGCCTTCTGTTCCTCTTCAATTACTCTCCTTCGCTCGATAACGACGTCATCCCCCAAGGCACACCTCAATTCATTTGATCAGAAGTTTAAAAACCCTAATCCGCTTTCTTTTCCTATCGATCTCATCTCTACTTGCTTCCCAGGGTGTTGAAGTCATTCCGGTTAAAAATGGGGGTTTCGTTTCTCCTTATAAAAATGAAATGCTCGCATCCCTTGCCTCCCCCACTCGTAATGCTTGACTTATGCCAACATAACCGAGTGTTAGGTTTCATCACTGCTCAAAAGCCACTGTCAATAATCACATTGCAATAAGAATATAAAATGTCTTTAAATTGTAGTTAATTGCTTCACAAGAGTGAACCTTAAAAGTTGAAACAATACAAACTATAGGTTCATCTCGATATCTTTTAACAAACTTGGATTTGCACCTTAGATGACAAACTGGGATGGCATAGACAATAGAAATGAGATAAAAAAAAAAATAATAGTAAAATATAAGGCATTTCTATGACTGATAATAATGAGAATAGAAAATAGAAATAAAATAAGCATTTTGATACTAGCATTTGGCTCGCATAATGTATTACAGGATTGGACATTAGACAATTTTATTTCAATCCTTCAAGATATTCACGCTCTTTACTAGTGATTGTGCCTTTACAGGTTCATTGTTGATCATTTCTTAATTTAACATTTTATTACACTGAGCAAGGTATATCTATGGTTACTGGTACTCGTATCAATTTTGAATATCAATAGAATATTATGTAAGATCCGAAAATATTTTCCTACCTTTTTCTTCCTTCCGCGCGACTCTATTCCTTTTATGATTGCTGCAGACTTACCAAATAATTTTTTTTTTAACTTTCCTTTTTGCTCTTCCGGCCACCTCCTACCGCCTTCCCTATTTGCTTGATCGCACCGACTTCGCTCTCTATAACTTGGGGCTGAAGGGTAGGGTTTGCAGTGCCGCATCCCCGTTTGCTCTCTCGCTTCTCTTGATCTCCCCATCCTCTCTCTCTCCTGTTTCGCCCAAAACCATCGCCTTCGTGACCGAACCCCCGCGATACAGTCACAATTTGAGCGAAGCGGGAAGGCAACTGAGGAATCGCGACATACCGAAACCCGAAACTCTCATCTTCCCCTTCATTCTGTTCGCTCCTACTCAAAACTGTCGAGGAAGGTAACACTCATCTGCCCTCACCTTATCTTGTGCACTTCAGCTTCTCTAAATCCAACGAATCTATCTTCCACAGGGTTCGCTGAACCCCGAGTTAAGACAAGAAGATGAGACGGGACTTAAGATTTTATAAGCTTGAATATCATTTTTTTTTTGTTAACTTACAATTCTTTCTTTAACAATACTATAATATTAATTTTAATAGTAATTTAATAGTAATGATAATAATACTAATAAGGGTCGATTTGATTTCATCTAATTTATTAAATGAAAAAGTTTAATTTCATAATTAAGTCTTATTTTCTAAATGGTGTAGGATTCCTAGACAAACCGTCAAACTTGTAGGAGTGTCGTGATTGTCATCTCAAGGTAAGTAACTATAGTCTATTGGAGGATAAACATACCCTTCCTAGTTAGAGACGTTATTCTTTATTAATTGTAGTATAATCACATTTATTATTTGTCTAAGTCATGCCCTTGCTACTTCAATTATGATGTTACACTTGTTATAAATCTACTTTATTGTCATGATAAAATTACTAAATTGTCTTAATTTTCTGTTGCATATTTGAATAAACTTGCAATTATATTTTCTTCCTTTTCTTGCATTTTATAAATCTGCATGTGGATTCACATCATATCACAAGCCTATATAAAAATTACATACTTCTTACATATTATACCCATGAAAACAAATAGTCATGCGTGTGCGTGATGATATGTAGCTTGGTAGAACCCTTTTGGCTTTTAGCTAGCCGGGTCTACAGGCCCATACAGTTACGACTTTACAGGAAATCGTCGGGTTTCCTTTGATAGGTATTTGATTTTTCCGGTTTCAGAATGTCTATTAAAACCGATTGTATATGTAAATATAAATGAAAGTGAAATGATAAGCAATTTGATTATGAATAATTGCATGTTTCTTATGACATGCATATTTGATATTTACCCCTCTTGTTGGTTTTACAGTGTTACCTATGCATCTTGTGATTCTTCCTTGTTTATTGTCATCCTGCATGCCTCATTCCCCTTGTCGTTTATACTTTAAAAAATAGATGTTATTCACTAAGTTTGTCAAACTCATTCTTGATTTCTCCACAGGAGCAAGCTTTTTAGTTTTAGTTTTTCAATTTTTGGTATTTTTCCTTAGTATTTGTTTTAGCTATTTTTGATGATTTCGGGTAATTGTCCCAAGTTATCATTTTGTTTTAATTCAACTAGTTTTTTATTTTCAGTCCAATTGTATCAATAAACTCTTTAGTATTAATAAAATTTACATTTCCTTTTCTTTTAATTGCATGCAAGTTTTTCTTTGAAAATACCAAATAGGTTCCTTTCATTTCATCATGCCCTACTTTGTTGGGGTGTATTGCCATCCGGACCGAGGGTGTGGTATATTAATTCCTTTTTCTCGTGCTTTTAACATTTTGTTATAGATAGTTCATCCCACCGAGCTTTCGAGCTCATTAAATATCACTCTAATCACTATTTCCTGTAAGAAAAAGAAGCATGTTAAGCCACCATAAGGTTAACAAAATTTGTCATCAATATTAGTATTTTAATGTACAGTTTTGGGTGTATCATAATAGAAAAATGTACATGACATAAAATAAGGATCTATGATGTGTTAATTATTTATGAAATTTATTAGAAGCTGTGTAGTTGATTTGATGAAGTTAATTATATACACTTTCAAACAAATGATCGAGCCATATCTATTGAATGGTTATGATAAGAGTGGTATATGCATGTTTGTAAAAATCAAGGGAGATAAGCCTTCTATAAATTGGATCTTGATTAGTAAAAATCGGAGTACTCTGCTACATCTCATGCTTGAAAAGTTGGGATCAAAACGAGGTGTCACAAAATCTCCTATGATAGGACACAAGCAATGAAGGACTAGCAGCAAGAAAGGAGCCTAAATATCTGAGGCCAAAAACATGCTTGTGGTGAGCTGGATCGATAGGCGATCATATAAGCCATAGATCACCAATGGTGAATCTTGATGAGAGTGTGGACGAGCAACATCTGGCACGACAAGCCATAAGTTACGACAATCATATGAAATGATCAACAAGGAGCTACCATGAGAGGTTGATCATAAGGCGTTATGATGAGCCACATTAGATGCATCTAGCACGAACCACAACAATCCAACACAAACCGAGCAAAGGGCTGCACGATCAATGAAATGAGAGAACTGAGTAATTGGTTGTGATAAATCTTTGGCTGGGAGTAAACGAACTTTTTAAAGAAAATTTCTATAATCAGTCAATGAAATCAGTACAAAATGAAACAGTAACATCAAAATACAACTTAAAAAATCACCTTCAAAAAAATGAAGCAAGTTGCTACTGAAAAAGAACGTAGAGTGTCATGGAACTAGGAATACTATCATTAGTTTTAAGACTACGAAAATATTAAGTTCATCATGAGTTCACTGTTTTTTTTTTCTTTCTATTTTGGCCCTCCTAGCAAAAAAAAATAAAAATTGGATTATTTTTATCCACTAGTTCTTCTATGCTAGAAATACTATCATGAGAGTCATAAGACTGCAAAACTTGATCACCATTATCTTCAGCAGCATACAGTCATGAGGAGCTAATACAATTGATGGATCTGGATCAATGATCTTCCATTTAGAAAAAGAGTCGATCACCTCTTTTAAACTAAGGATAACCAGGGAAACCCTATTTACCTAAGAGTTAATTTTTTTTTTAATCCCTCATTATACACATCAAAAGGTGCTAAAGTTGATTGATCAACCCTCCTACTACCCAGACCAAAGTTGGTACTAGGAGCTAGTGGATTCGTTTTGCGATGATTGTAATTGAGGATGGCTGAGATAGCAGCTGATTTCATTTAGTATTTTTTTTATTCAATTTTTTAAATAAAGGGGATTTTAGAGTAAAACTCATTAAGTAGATGTTAAAATATTCTTATGACAGAAACCTGTGAAAACCATTGGATTTAAAGTGATAATAAGAGCATGTGGATTCATTTTGAGATAATATTGAAGATGGCTGAGATAGCTCATAGATTTCATTAGGCCTTGATGCAAGTTCAATGCTGGGATTATTTAGTTTTGTCCTCAATTTTGATGAATCCAAGGGGACTTCATAGTAAAGCGCATTAAATAGCAAACAGATGTTATCCATGAAAAACATTCTTTCAATCAACCTTTTCCCAATTTAATGATTGATATCCTTATCTGTATTGTAAATGATTATTGAGATATAGTGGGTTGCTAAAGATTATTACGGAACAAGAAAGTTTTCTGTTATTTAACTGATCCATGCAGAGCCAGCGCGGAAGGAACATTCTCATAAGAAAATTTCAAAAATAAATAAATAAAATAAAAATTGAAAAAGAGAATGCATTTCTTTTTAGTGGCTTCCAATTTACCTTGAAAGAGAAATTACTGAATGAGTAATTCACAAATTCTTCAGAATCAAACTCCTCAAGGCCGTCATACTCATCCCCCTGTTAACCATTAAAAAATTAGTTTTAAAAAAGCTGTTCTCAACTACTTGAGTCCCATGAAGAATAAATTAGTGAAAAGTAAAGATTAATATATTTCAATATAAGGAAAAAGTTTTTGAAAGGACGTTCCTAGTATCAATGGTCTAGTGAAGTCAAAACTAAAGCTTTATGAAGAAATTGTCCCTAAAATTTTAGAACCATTAAAAGATCGGCTATATTACATACCACATCTTGACGATTACTGGAGCAACTACCGGCACCACTTATGCTTCCACTGCCCAAAGAATCCTCAAATTGACTGGCCTCATTAATAAGCTCACTTGAAGGATTCCATGAGTAGCGACTCGTGAAATAGCTAGTATCAGTTGCATTATTTGAAGAGGGAACAAAGGCAGCCTAAAAATGGAAAAGGATAAGTAACATTAAAACGATAAAAAATAAGAAATAGAAGACCTTTCCATAATTAAATCAGACTCACCTTCTGCCTGGCAAGAGTATCCCAGTTAATGTTTTTAAAAAAGACATGTTGCTTGACCTAAAAAATTCATAAAATGTTAAAAACAACCAGTTCAAGGCTATCAAAAGTTTTCAAAAGAAATTATCCCATTTTAAACATACTTCCGAAGCACCTTTTGCTCCAAGTCTTTGATGAGGATCCTCAGTCAGTAATCTATCATAAATGTCGCAGATGGCGAGGTTAGAAACGTAGTTCTTTTGCTTGGAAAAAAAAAGTCACTAGGGTTGTCGACAACTGATTTGTGGAAAAACAACTATTTATAGCGGTAGGTGGGAGGTAGGTGAGAAGTAGATGGGATGTGGTAGGTGAGCGGTAGGTGGGTATGGTAGGTGATATACTTAATTAAGAAGCTAATTAAATTCGGTGGACTGGGTCTCCACATTACCCAACAATTCTCCCACTTGGAGACCGAGACATTGACTGCATCACCTACTGGTTGCATCATCTACTAGCTGTACCTACCTTTTCCTCAAGCATAGCCCTGTTCTTCATGTCAGAAGACCAGCTGAAGTTGAACACAACTTCAGCTTCTCACGAGTACACCCTCAGTTGACATATCACCGTCAACTTAGTCTTGTACCGGCAAGCTCTTCCCTGGGTTACTCATATATTTACTTACAACTCCCACTGCATGAGCAATGTCTTGCTTCTGTTGAAAGCCCTTTTCAACAAGTCCAGCTTTGCAGCTCTTACTGCCACCAAACGAAGTCTTCATCTGGTACACTCACTTGTTGTGCAATGCCTTCTTCATTAGTAGAAGTTCTGCCAGCTCCTAAATCTGATTCCCTGGCAGGGAATCCGTCTCCTCCTTCTTGGTTAGCTCCCACTTGCTCGAATTCTCATCTTGCAAGATTTTTTCATAACTCTGTGGTTCTCCACCATTTGTTTGCACATGATCTGATTTTCCCGCCTTTGGCGCTCTACCACTTTTCAAGAAATAGACATTCTTTTGCTTCCCTATAACGCACATCTGACTCATATGTCCACGCCTGAGTAAACTTGTAGTCATATATAGTGTGTCAGTTTTCTTATCCCAAACTAGTACTAATGTTTCTTTGGTAACCTTCTAGGTGCTATTTGAGAACACTATCAAATGACCACCCTCATTGAGTTGTCCAACAAAGATGAGGTTTTTCTTCAGGTTTTTCTTCAATTTTCTTCAACTCAGGAACGTGTCTGACTTTTTGCAAAGTCCATTTGCTCTTGTTAAGGAGTGCAATATCAACATCTCTCATCCCCACCAGGTCCAGAGCTTTTCCATCAGTCAGATGTTCCTTCCTAAAGTTATCTGCAACATAATTTCGCATTAACTCCCGATGGGAAGATATATGGAAGGAAGCCCTTGAATCCAGTATCCAGTCATCAACAGAACTGTAAACTGTCAAAACAGAACTGTAAACTGTCAGAAATAGTGCATCATGTATTTCTTCAGATACAACATTAGCGTCATTATTCTCCTTCTTCTTAAGATTCCTGCAGACCTTTTTATGTGGTCAGCCTTGCCACAATTCCAGCAGGTTGTCTGCTGACCTGACTTTGATTTTCATCTTCCACGGTTTGAGTTTCTGTCTTGTGATCTCCCTCTGGAATCAACAATCAGCGTCGAACTCGAACTCGAGGTCTCTCCAGAATCTTTCCTGCGCACCTCCTCAGTCAAAATCAAATCACAAAAATCAACATATTTCAGTTTAGATTTACCTGCAGAACTACTAACTGTCATCCTCATAGCTTCTCAGCTATTTGGCAATCAGCTATTTGGCAATGAAGATTTGGCAATGAAGCCAACAATATCAGCGTATGTATCTCAACATCAAAATCAATTTCAACAAACGACAACTGATTTGTGATAGTGTTGAAATCATTCAGGTGTTAAGCAACAGACACACATTCCACAATCTTCAAGTTGAATAACTTTTTTATCAAATGCACATTGTTATTCGCCAATGACTTTTCATACATACCTGATAAAGCCGCCATGAGATCTGCAGTAGTCCTCTCTTTGATGACGTTGTGGGCAATCGATCTCGACAGGGTTAATCGTATAACCCCCAGAACTTGTCGATCCAACAGATTTCATTCCGCCTCGTCTATCTTTTTTTGTCGTTTTTCCAGTAACGGGAGATGAAGTTTCTTCGCATAGAGGTAGTCTTCCATCTGCATCCTCCAATAAGCAAAATCTATGTCATTGAACTTCTCGATCCCCGATGTCATCACTTCATCTCCGCCCATCGTTCTTCCTTAGATTCGAACCCATGACTCTGATACCAGTTGTTGTGAAAAACGATGGAAATAAAGAAAAAAAATGGAACGAGTAAAATTGCACACAAAGAAAAAACACCAGAGCGACACAAATTTACGTGGTTCGACAAATTTGTCTACGTCCACGGAGTTGCAGAGGATTTTTTGCAGAGGATTTTCGGAGTTGCAGAGGATTTTATTTCTTTGAGGAATTACACCGTCGAACACCTCGGCGTTTACAAAAAAATCTCTATTTTCTTCTCTACCTTCCTCTCTCTCTCTCTCTTCCCCTCTTTCTCTTAGCTCTCAAGATGACTAGGCTTGGTCTTGCTTGGCTTCGCTTGACATTTTCTTTAAACCAAAAGAGACTATTTATAGAAATCATGAGAGCGGTTGGTGGGAGGTAGGTGAGCGGTAGGTGAGATATGGTAGGTGAGCGGTAGGTGGGTATGACAGGTAAGCGGTAGGTGACATACTTAATTAAGAAGCTAATTAAATTCGGTGGACCGGGTCTCCACATTATCGAACAAATGCAAATTAATCAAGAACGGGCTTTATAAGTCTCAAAGTAATATGTAGATCGAACGTAACTAAGTAAATTAGTTGATTCAATCGAAAAATTGAATTGGTTTAATCCAATGAGAAAGGGAATGAGCACTGCTTGTTATTTTTGAGTTCAATTTCTTATTTTATAAAATTCAATGCATATTTCATTAGATTAGACTAGATTAGATGGATTAAGACAGCTGTTTTTTAAATCATCCCACTTCAAATGACCCACCACTTGGCATAACTCCCTTCTCTGTTACTCATGCATGATACACTTGAGAAAATGGAGAAGCCACTTGCCCTTCATTTATGTTTTAAAGGGTAGTGATATGGGTTCATTTATGGAGCTGGCTTGAGGGTGTTGGAATTTTCTTGGAGAAGACGGAAGAGATGTGGAAAAGAATTTTTTTTAAGGGGAGAGAAATTAATAAGAGGACAGATTTGAAAGTAAACCTCCCCTCCCTTAGCCTTTCAAAATTACAAAAATGATTTCCAAATTTTACTGCTATCTTCAAATTATTAAAATTAATCTAGCTCTGCTTCGAGCCAAACCAAAATTTATTAAAACTACTAGATATATTCTTCTAAAAAATGACCCAAAATACTCTTTTAAGGGAGCCGGGCACAAATTTTTAAACAAGCAGAATTTTCCCAATGACAATCAAATATTTTAATGAAACTTTCATATTTAGAATCATTTATTTACTTTCTAAGGAGTCAATGAGGGAGCTGTCATTGTAGTATATGGAATTTTTAAGGAATGAATTTTGTGCAAATCTTTTTTATGTTTCCTCCTTTTTTTTTTATGTTTCCTCCTTTTTCTGCACTTGATGTAATATTTATATCCCAAGGTTAAATAAAAGATAGCTTTGAAACTTACAAAAACCTGATTCTAAGAGAATTCTAGACCCTAAGACGTCCCACATCACCAATGAGTAATATGAATTGACTGGAAAATGATGGGACTATATATATATGCTTAAACTCCAACAGAATTCAAAGCAACAAATAATTCAGTAAATGCAAGAAAAACTGTGTTTCCTTCTGCGATGGTGTGATATCTATGATTATATCCTCTTTTCTTAAAACAAAAAAATTAGTAACTAGGAGAAAAATTCAAGAAAATGTCTGAAAACAAAATGCACAACATTGAAAGAATGATTCAATGTATTAGTTAGTACAAGCATGTGAGGTTATCTTTACAATTAGAGACACCTCCCATGATCTTTTTAATTATTACATGATTCAAATTACACCATTGATTCCAGATAGCGTGGTTGGATTTTACTTCATAATCAATACAAAATCCTTTGAGATATTTTTCCATTTCAAAAGAAGACAAAATGAAGGCTCAAGCCACATGATTTCATCTGTAATCAGCAACCATTTGTTTCAGTTATAGAAGTATCTGACATTTAATTACATTTATGGCCAGTCTAAAATATAAATCAGGAAAATTTACATACATAGCACACAATTCTTATGTGTTTGCATATCTCTCACCTAAACTTTCATATTTACACACATAGCACTCAAATGTTTAATATCATATCAAAAATAGCAATATTATCACTTTTTTTCAAAATCAAACACACACTTTCAAGCATAGATTTAAAGCACCTGAGTGAATGGTGTGTTACATATGTAAATTTCCCTATAAATCATTCAAAATATCTTCACTAATGATGATTGATTGCGACTCAGTGCACGTAGATTAAGATCCTAAGCTTCATTGACCAATAAGCTGATTAGGCAATTAAAAAACAGAAATCTTTATATATACTAAACTAGAGTATATGGATCGACTAGTTGGCAATTGGCACATCATATGATCATCACATGGTATGATTTTGAGAATATATACTAAACCATTAATTTTGGATTCAATTTTAATTATATCGACATTTAAATGTCTTTATAAATATTAATTTTTAACTATTTTATTTATTCTTTATTACAAATAAAAAACTAATATTCAATGACTGCAGGAAGTACATCTGGCAGATCCCATGATTTGAAATGATATGATTTTGAATCTGAATTAACTCTATTTATTAACTAATGATTCTATAACACAATATAATATTGACTTTGAAGGCTACAACTATTTTATTTGTTGTGAAACTATATGTCACTATTATAAATTTTAATTTAAATTAATTCATAAATAGTTTATTTTTAATAATTTTATTTAATAGTTAGTCACTCATGAAATAAAATTAAATTTTAATTTATTTACTAATTTTACTTTGTTAAACTTTCAACAACTTTAACTTATTTATTCAATCTTCAACCAACTTATGTCTGGGGAGCCTTTATGATGCAATTAACGCCAAACTTCTTAATTGTTTTTAAATTTTCATCTTCCTTGGCTAACAAATGGATTATACTTTCTAGTAAATATTTCTAGAAAACTAAGATTTAGTTCATAAATATATTTTTTTTTAATTAACAAAATTTCAAAGCAAATTCAAAACTAGCCAAAATAAGGCCAGCCAGTGCCCTGCTTGAAGCCTGAAGGAATACCACATAATGATCAGTCTGAAACCTAATGCATAATTAACCATATACCTTATTACAGAACCTTCTTTTCCATTTTATTATTTCCAATTGCTGTCCCTTCTTTTTTCTTAAACTTAACTGTTTGATTCAGATATCTAACTATGTCAAGATTTTTTAATAACGTTTCAGAAGATCTTTGACATCTAACTTGAAAGTAGCTAAGGGCTTTGTATGGGATCATTTTTTTTTTCTTTACTTTAATTTAAAAATTCGTTTTTTAGTGAATTTTTTTGCTCAAAAAATAAATTAATTTGTTTTTAAAAACAAACAAAATATCTAAAATTTTTTTTAATGTTTTTAAAAATAACTAAACATGTTATAAACATCTTTTATTTTAAGTAAAAACACAAACAAAACAAAATAATAACCACAATGGAAAACAGTATTTTTTTACAGAGAAAATAAAAACGAGTTTAGAAAAACAAAAAACAGTTCACTTGATATGATCACAGATGAAGAGGGCAGAGAAAAAGAAAAAAAAAATAAAAATATGAAAGATTATTTTCAGCTGTTACCTGCGAATAAGATCTTGAGCTTCAAGACTCATTTCTTCAGCTACTCGGGGCCATGGTATTTTACAGTTGAGAATATTGTCAAAAATAATCTAAAAGAAACAAAAGAAAAACAAAAGCTGAGCTGATAATTTACCTATATAATGCTTCGAATAATCACTAACTACAAGTTTATGGTATCGTTGATAATAACCACTATAGTAAGAACATATTTATGTCGGAAAAAGGTGAATTTGAGGAAATTCATGATTTTTTCTGCGTGACAATGTATGTGCATGGATGTGGATGCAAACGCGGTGATGGAATGGCATATGAAGCTCGAGTATAACTGACCTAGAATGCACAAGTGGAAACTAGAACATATTCTCTTCTATTCATTTATAAGTACCAATTCATCATTATTTAACACAATCACCAGTTGTACTCACCTGTATAATACAACTATTTATATTATAGCTTCTTAGAAATTTGGCAAATCCACCTTTGCTTATCAATTATGGCTTCTTAGATATTCCAGGTCAAATCAGGTGAGTACAACTGTTGTACCAATTCAACTGCCAAACACGAATTTTATAATCACGATAGATCCGGATGAGGTCATCGAAAGGCTCTAGACCTTGGACTGTCTTTGAGTGTCAGAACGTCTCCCCAAATAGGATGATGAAACTAGTCACTAGTAAGCTAAAAAAAAGTACATTAATTTGATCGCAAAATATGAAGTACTTATGCCAGCATAAGGGAAATGACAAGGTCACTACTTAGTCCAAAATGAAATGGGAAATGCAGCAACAATTCATACCCGCCCACTACAAACCAAATGTTCCACAGTTTCAAAGGTGGAGAGACCACATCATTGGATTGTCGGCGTTTAAAAAGGGGGGGAGTTACGTTTGGGGGTCGCCCGTAAGAAGCTGTCGGCAGCCGGAATCGAAATCCCGTCGCCCGCTTCGGAAGGACTTTTTAATTTACATATATATATATATATAATTTTAGAAAAATACGAAATCAAACTGACCTCATATTTTTCACAGTTTAAATGAAAGAGCGCTCTACCTCAAATCCTGTATCTATCCCGAAGAATAAACACAAGACCTGAGGATGAAGCTCGATCAAATAAACTAAGAAAGATATGACGTCCGTTTGGGTCTGCGAAACCATTTTATTTGCCGACAAGTTCCCCTATTTAATACAAATAATTAAATAGGGTTTATTTTAAGCTGGGTTCGGAAAAGCTCCCTATAAGGGCAAGCCCCTATAGTTAATTACATCTCAAATGACCGAAGTCACCTAAGAAAACTCTCGATAAAAATCAGGGGATAATGTCTTCAAAGAGGTCAAAAGGATAGGACTTTACAACGAAATCGGACGAAGAGGTGTGAAGGGGAAAAGCTCAAATCTGGAACATTGTTAAGGAATCCAAATGAAGAGAAACTAGGGGA